ATTCATCACCCATATAATATGTATACTATTGGATTCTCATAAGGCAAAAATCAGTCTCCTGAAGGAAAAATAGTGTGAGGTTAATTTTTGTTGTTGTTTTTATAGACTTTTACTTTAGAGTCCTGTGTTATGATACAAGTCAACACATCATTGAAAAAGACCTGCGTTAGTGCAGTCATGTTTAAAAATAACATGGTTAAATGACGGAGGGCAAGGTGATATGCACTGTTAGTTATTACAACCTCCCTCTGGAAGTATTTGAGTTCATTAATGGGATGGAAATGGGCAATGTCAATGTCAATAAATGGCTGGAATCATGCTGGCCTTTCTTGAGAGTGCGTCCATACGCCTTTTTACCCTTCGATCAATCAGGACATTTTCTGATTTAATCTAGACTATAATGCTTTGTAAGAGATTTGAAAAGAAAAACTCTATTGTTAGACATTCTCTCATTGTAAGAAAATCTTCTCATTCAAAAGACAAATATCTTCACTTATGTTTCATGATTATCTAATCAAGTAAACACTGAGTTTAAAACCTAACACTTCTGGAATTCGCCTTTGAACCATTTCAAGTTTCTGGTTAAATTACCAGAAGAAAGGCATTTTGCGATGATAAATCTTTTATTCTTGTGATAATTTTCACTTTTAAAAATATGTACCTTTGCTTTTTTCAGAACAGGGCCTTGTTTCATAAAACTTGATATCAAGAACAAGATATAAGCTACCAAAATAGTGGCATTTGAATGGCTGAGAGCAGAACTGTTGAAGCAATTTATCATTTGTTATTTATAACAAGTTTCATGAAACAGGGCCCAGAAGTCTCTCAGTTTTCTCAATCCTCAATTTGATTGATTTTAAGTGAGACTAAACAAATCGGGTGGAAAGAAAACCTGGCATGAACGCAACGGCACCCATAGCCATCCATGTCAACTCTGGATATGCCTGCATGCAAACAAACAGGCAGTGGCGTCTTAGTGAGAATCGGATATTTATTTTGCCAGTCAGGGGGTAGAGTGGATATCCTATGAAGTATTAACATCCTGATAGCGGTTCAGAGCCAAAAAAGAAACTGTGCCTTGACATCAACGACGAGACGAGACGAGGAAGAAAACTGCACCAGCTGGAAGGATGCAAATGTTAAGCTAAATGGCGTTGTATCCAGTTTATGTTTGGAGTAATAACATTGAAAGTAATAGCAGTCAGATTGTTGTCCTATGTGCATTTATAGTTTCGGGTTGTAGAGGGCTTGAACCTAGACATCACAAAGCAAAAGTGTCAAATCCAAATAAAACAAACACTCCCCAAAAGAAAATAAATAAATAATAAAATGAATGAGTGAGTGAATGAGTGAACAAGGTTTATGTCTTTTTCCCTCTTTTGTCTAGCGAAGTACTCAAAACGATTTGTTTGAAACCATTATTGTTTTGACTATCTTTTTTGTACTTCCTATTTTATATGCAATGATGCTAATTCATTTCATTCTTGAAGCAGGTAAATTACTGGAAGTGAATGAGTTGACAGGAGACTATTGTAGGGTAGGGTAGAATAGATGGAGCGTGGACGAATAGAGGAAAGAAAACAAGAACAAAAAATCTCATATATATCTATATATAAAAAGATTTCAAGGTCAAGGAAAAGAATACATTCTATGTATTTTCTCTATTTCATGTACACTGTTTATATGTTAAATTTTACAATGGGAATCCATAGTGGTATGCAGTACCTTGAGTTAATTCTCTTTCGCAATTAGCGAGCAAACTGCTTGTCTTGTTAGTAATCTTGATATCACGATGTCATAATCATGTCTTGAATGTGACTGTGATGTCATAAATGTCATAATCATGAGCTAGGCAAATTCAATAACACAGTGTTTTCCATATTCACTTACCTCCGTTCATCTTAATCTTTGCCAAATGCACTTACTCATACAATAAAGCAGATGATTCTGTCCAAAAGGCAAACACTTTTTTTGTCATGATCAAACTGCATTGTTTGTAAATATAAATATACTTGCCCAATATAGGTACAGTTTAAGCAGAACAAGGCTGTGGAAGTGCTTGATAGAATCATAAAAACTCACTATTATGATTTGACAACATTTCTTGCATGTTGAGAAAGTGTACTTGGAGTCATTTTGCAAGTCTTTCTACCCTGACAATCCCTAGCCTGCCTATATTAGAGTGGAATTAAATGACATAAAATAGAAATAGATATACAGAAACTTATGATTATTTAATAGCTCTAGAAAGATTATGAAAGAAAGCTGTGTTGTATTTTGATTTGTTCTTATTCTTATTCTTCAAATGCTGTGATAAATAGCCAAAAAATATTGCTGCAAGAAATCTCGCTTTGACAAAACAAAAAAAATCCGGATAGAGCTAACTAGAACTGAAACATCATAGGAAAGGTAGAAAGAAAGAACTTTCCAATGCAGTAGATACAAGCTAGACCCTGAGCCTAGCTGCAAACCTAGAGAAGACCTAGCTAGCTCCCGCATGCTGGGAGGGGATATCCTTGCCCCATTGGCAGGAGGATATCGAAATGATGATTCCATGCCGACAGAAACGTTAGGAAATGACAAATATCTCCTGTTTTGTGATGCGCAGATCCGAGACTACTCCTCTGTCAGGCTCTGGGCTTCCTGCTTGCCTTGCCTGCATGGCTGCTGTGACTGTATGTCCAGAAGATTCGTGTTCTCATTGCCTGTTGGTTTGCTCCAACGTCTTCAATTTGTTTCATTCTTTCATCTTGTTTTTGCATTTGGTTGGTTTATATGACTACTGTTATACACTACTGTTATGTGTATGTGGCTTTGATGTACATGTATGTCATTTTCTATCTCCGAAACAACTAAGTTATGAGCCTTTGAAAGTTGGGAAAATTTTTTTGGGGGGGTGTAAATGTCAGTGAGAATATTCCCATTCAATGACTCAAATATTTCTGCAGCCAAAAGATTTAAACAAATTTTCTTGTGTACTTCGACCTATTCTGTTTGTCTCTTTCTGTCTTATTGTTTCTCACTCTCTTTTCTGTTTGTCTTCCTCTCTCTCTCTCTCTTTCTCTCTTCATTATGCATTTCTTTGAGGAAGAAAAAACAAATTAATTGGCAGTAGATACTTCCCTGAATGTGGTCTTAGCCTCAAAAAGACTTTCCCTATTTTTATGTGAATGCATACAAAACCCCACAATGTTGCCGTAATGGACTTTGTAATTATAGGCTACTGATAAGTTAGTTGTACTTCAAATTCTAAGAGCATTTCTTGTCTTATAGCATATAGAGCACACGTTTGTCTGTTAATGAAGAAAAGTATACAGGATCAGCATGATTTTGTAGATGACAACGATGGTCTGGTCAATGCTTTCATTTTATATAACTTCAGTTCATTCACATCTTCATGAAAAAAGAGGAAAAGTAGAGGCCCATGTAGGTATTAAATGAGTTTGAAAGGTACTGGTATGTCAAAAATCAGAGTGCATTTCCCCCAAATGCATTAGTATGGATATTTGTATGAAAACTAGTAAGTGTTTTCATTATATGATATTTGTGTCAAGTTTTGTAGTTATTCATCATATTGTGACCAAGATCTTGAGGGGCGTAATCCTTTTAAAGGCTATTACTTTTCTCCACTATTTATTTAATTTTGAAGTACAGAGTTTGTAACCTTCTGCAACCACCCGTTTTGATTATATTAATTTTTCACCAAGAAACTGTAAATTTTTTTCCTTGAAGGCTGATGATATACTCCCACTTGAATGTATTATGCTAAATGGAGCTACATCCTCTTCTAAATAGCATGCACTCAAGGATGTAGGGATGTATTTAATAGACATCTCTCTCTCTCTTTCCCCCTCCCTCCCACTCTCTCTCTCTCTCTCGCTTTCTGGGCCTTTAATTTCTCCCCCTGAGGCCCTCACGAATGAACTACATCCTGCGGATATAGTATGGACGGAAGAGAAGCAATGGAAAAGGGGGAAAATGATGCAGTTTGAAATATGCCTGAAGTCTTTACTGCTCATTAATTGACTACTGTATTTTAGTTTTTGTTTTTGTTATTATTATGCATTTTAGAGGGGGGGGGGGTCTAATTGTGAAAATAAAGGTGAAATTCAGGGCTTGTGTGCCAGTAAATCTTAGAATGTAATTTTTTTTATTTTGAAAAATATTTTGGGAGCTACTTGAAGGTTGATGAAAATAAGGAAACCATAAAAGTATGTTTTAGGAGACATTTTTTAATGAATTTGTATCTATATGAGCATTAATTCCCTTGTTTATTGCTTTGTTCAGTTTTGAAAGAAATCCGTGTTTTTTTCTATTAAGTTATCTTTTTAGAAATGTCATTCCCCCCCCCCCCCCCATACCCCAATAGATATGGCTATAACAAAATCACATTATACATTAATAGAAGTTATTTGTAACAACAATTTTTAAGAATTAACATTTTCATGTACCCAGAGATTCATTCTTCTAAATTGTTTTTAAACCTGTCTATCAAATTCAGTAAAATAAATAACAAATTAATTCTCAAGTCAGTACTACATAATAAGTTTGCAATAAACTTGTTACAATATGGGATTATAAGAAGTGCAAGTTTTAGTAAAATTGTTGTCATGTACATGTACATTCCCAAGAATAATGAAAATATCAACATAATCAGCACTTGAAATATAATTTTCTTTGATATTTAGTGTATTCTAAGGTTTAACTTGGTTTTAAACTTCATATCATACTCAAATCTTTGTTTTAGTCTGTAACATATTAGGGAAAATATATACACTTTGGACTTGCCCGCAAACTTACCAAATTTTCAGGGTCGAAAACAAAATTCATTTAATATGGGGAGCCAAACGTTTTTATTCAGAATTATGAAGTTGTTGCCTTCATAGCGAGTCTACCCAAATATTATTTCACTTAGCTTGAATTCTCAACAGAATTCTTTTATTCTTGACATTGTTTTCCATCCAATTACCCCCCTTCATTTCCCTTAATCACAAAAATACCTCAGCGTGTACGGGCCGGGAAGTTTCCCATTAGCTCATCCTGCTTGGAGCCCGATGGAGACTCAGCTTAATCTAAAGCATCTTGTGAAGTGGGAAGACTTGGGCTTAGCCCTGGCCGGCGGAGAGTTGGAGGCGGGGCCTGGCTCCCTGAACCTGCCAATCAGAGGTAAGTAGACTAATTCAAATGTTGCCAGAGTGGCTCTCCAGAATGTCAATGGCGTTTCCCCAATTTGCTTTCCCTTCCTACAGGATGGAGTGTCCCTCGATGTCGTCCAAGATGTTTGGTTAAAACCGCTTCATATTTCTCTAATTACAAGTGGATACTGGACAAATAAGAGGCAAGGCCGTCGGAATTACAGAGTGACTTACTACATTATGTACTGTCTGTAATGATCATAGGTTGAGAATTTGAGATGTCCAAGAATGGACTTGGATGAAGTTCACTTCATCATTTCTTTTGGAAATTTTCCCTTTCATTTCATGAAAGATTTCTTAAGTTATCCCATATTGTATAATTTGTATGTGATTTGGTTTAGATAGATTTTTTTAGAATTCATTTACATTATTGGTAATTCTCACAAAACCAAAATGCTTAACTTTTGTTGAATTCTTGATTTTTATGAATCTGTTCAAATGAAAATCAGATGCAAGAATCTTGAGTGTGAAGGAAACAAATTTTAAAAGTTGTTACCACCCAAGGTATAACGATATGATTTAAAGAAAGTAAAAAGATTTATTTGTTTGTCTTGAAAAGTGGCCTTTGATGATCTTTTTAGTTTAAATTTGCCTTTTGGCCATCTGCTGACATAATGAGACTCAGAGTCATCCACATAGATTATAGCAAGGTAAAGAAGAAGAAGAGGAAAGTAGGACGAATTGAGCATAAAGTCAGACCATCTGGTTTGAATAATATCAACAGGATAGAGAGCTCAGTCTGCCGAGAGGTGAACAGGAAAACAGAGTGAGAATCGGTTTTATTACACATAAACTTGGGAGATGGGTGGATGGAAAGAGACAGAGACAGACAGACAGATCAAGATTAAGAGGGAGCAAGAGAGAGAGAGAGAGAGAGAGAGAGAGAGAGAGGTGGGGATAGTGAGTAGAAGAGCATTCATGGTAATGACAGCAGAAATATGCTACAGTATATTGCATATAAACTTCAGAGAGATTGAAGGGGGAGAAGGAAAGAGAGAGAGGGGGGAGACAAAGAGAAAGATTAGGTAAAGGATATGGACTTAGGGAGTGGTGAGAGGATGGTTCATGTTAAGAATAAAGTACTCAATGCATCCTTGCAAGTCAAACTAAAGAGAATATTAAGAGAGGTGACTGATGAGATGCATGAGATACAAGGTCTTTGACTTAATTGGAAATGACAAAAGAGTTATGATTGACTCAAGGATGAAAATTGCATATTTAGTATATTGATATTGTAGAGCTGAAAAGTGAAATATAACATATACAGATGTAATGAGGAATCAGCATGAGAAAAATAAAGTGATAAAAGAGGGAAGTAATGGAAAGAAAAAATAGTGATTCAAAGTTGTTGACATAAGAATGACATTAAAAAGTCTGAAATCATCATGTTTATTAAAAGATTGAGAGAAAAGAAAGGAGAAATAGAAAGAGACAGAATGAGATATGAAGCAATGAGAAAATATATATGATAGATGGAAACAGAGAGAGTGGATGAGAGAGAGAGGGAGGTAAGAGCAAGAGGGCAGAGGGGGAAGCAGACAGGGAGAGAGAGGTAGAAAGATAAATAAGAGAGGGAGAGAATGGCAAGCGGAATAAAGAGGAGAGAGAGAGAGAAAGGCAAGAAGTCTATGGAGAGATGTTGGTCGACAGGGGAGAGGGAGAGGGGACAGGGAGTGAAAGGAAGAGGATATCCATCCATAAAAGCAGAATGTCCCTCTTGATTCCCCATGGTGCACCACGTTTCATCCGCTAACAGCATATGAATCACGGCTCAGCGTCCCTCAACTAACCCAAACATGAAGGAGAAAACAAAGGAGGGTGGGGATTTCTAGAGGTGATACTAGCACTAGAAGTTTGGGTGCTCACATCAATTCAAGATTAATCAAATCGAAAGAGCCCTGAAATTGCGCTATTTCATTTCCAACCAGCATGACTAGTTCTGTTTTTCCATGGGTAATGAGCAGGAGCATCAACTTTCCGAATGAGTGCATGTAGTAGTTAACATGTACTGGCTGTAACGTTAGACACATCTTTAAAAAGAGGAGATATTTGAGCTTCATGATGCTTTTTGTTCCTCTTTTAAATAAATGAGAGATTTTGTTGAAAGCGAGGTTTTCATTTGGTGTACTATGATTCAACCGCTAAAAGCGTATGAATCACTGCTCAGCATCCCTCTACAAAACTAATATGAAGGAGAAAATTTAGAAGGGTGCGGATTTCTAGAGGTGATACAGATTTTATTGCTGACATCAAGAGTTTTTTTTCTTGTTTTGGTATCTTATAAGAATGAAATGAAACCAGCAATTTATTTAAAGATAATCATTGTAAAAGTTTTATAGTTATGACATGTTGGAACTTCTTCCTCGGTTTGGGGGTGTTCACTCCTGAGTCTTATTAGAATGAGTAGAACTTCTCTTTCGAAAGTGTACATCATTACAATTAAAATGCAGTTTTTAAGAATACTAAATTAAATACTTAATACAGAGTGATACTGAAGGTTGAATATGAAAAGTCATCTTTGATATGGCATAATTAGCATTGCATAATTTGTTGAGGGGTCGTATTAATTGATTTGCACAATTTTTGTTGTGGATGCTTAATTACTCTATTCTTAATTTTGAGTTACCGGTAATTGTTTCTAGTTAAATATTTAGACTTAATTACCATATACTGAAAAAAATGAGATTGTGCTTAAAAAGCTGAACTATCTTATTAAAGTGAGGATTATTTAGGATGATAGTTTGGTTGAACTCTCACTTCTTTTTTTATTGGTTGACAAATTATGTCCCCTTTTCTTTCCCCATCTATTTTTCATTCCACCTCATTTTTAGTGTAAACGCCATTTATAAACAAAGGCCAAAAATAGGGATATACAAGTGTTTTAATTTCACTTCCTCATCACTTCCTTTTTACCTTTCCCTTTTGATCGCATTTGCTTTTAATCCTCTAAAATTATAGTAAGTGACATGATACGATATCTGCTTTTTTGCAAAGCCTACCACATGATGTTACCAAAGATCTTAAATTTCAAAACTTAAGTTGAAGTGTAGTAAGTTTGTCTTTGCTTAATTTTCAATACCTGCCATAATGCTCTCTTTATCCCTTGCAGTTTGGGTCTGATCAGTTTCATTCCATGATTTTATATTACTAAATAGAAACTATTTAGAAAATAATGTAACCTGTTTTTGTAAAAAAAAAATTGAAAACAAAGGCACCCTTGTAAGTTACACAACAGTGCCTCATGACTTTAATATATAATGTAAAATTTGTGAAGGTCATGAAGGGAGAAAGTGTATCCATATGACCTGCTATGACACATTTCAAAGTCATTTACACTGACATTGCTGTGGGTAGATGGGACTAAGCGTACTGTCAAGGGCACATAATGCATACCCCATAGGTATTTCCATCAGCATTCACCGTGGTAAGGGCCTCTGACTATATAATGTAAAAGGGAAAATGTTGTGAGCAATGACTTTGGAGACTGAATGTGCCAGAAATCATCAATTTCTGTTAAGTTCTTGATGATGTCATCAAATTGCTCATGAGCTACTCACCTCAAATACCTCCAATGTATTTTCCCTAAGGTAGCATTACGCACCTTGTTGTGTTAGGGGTGCTGACGGGTGCATGAAGCCTATAGCTAGCTATGTGATATTCTTCAAAAAGTAACCTTGTTCGCAGTGACCTACATTTAAAAAACAACAGAAAATTGGCACTTCTTTGCTTTGTGTTGCCAATTTTGTTTTCATCACATTTATGGAAAAACATGGGCATTATGAATAATTGCTTGTAGGTGTACAAGATGGGACTAAGGTTCGATATGTCAATGTCATCCAAAGTTTGGAACAGTTTACCTGTTGATCAAGTTGATTCAGGATATACCCAAGTGAACCGTAAATCCTTTTCTGATATAATTTCTTGTCCCAGTGTCTTAAATCTGCACTTCTTATAAAGTAGTTCCAGTTTTCAGGCTTAAGAGATATTAAGATGTAGGTTATTGATTACTGGAAGATATTTCGTTCCTTTTAGAGTGCTAGCTGATTATACCAATACAGTGTTCATGATCATGCGTATATCACTACATGTAATCTGAATCAGTATACCAACAAGTATGTTTTAAAATCATTGGTGTAGGGAATAGATGTTGACACTCTTGAAACTTAGAAAATTTCAAATCTTACGTACATGTACTTCCAACAGGAGGGGTCAATAGCAGGTGAAACACTTCTGAAAAAATTGATGAAATAGTTCATGAAACCTTATCAAAATCATGCTGTATAAAGGACATAAACCTTTTAAAATATTCTAAAACTTTGTACAAAGCCAAGGCTATGAAAAAGCAGTATGTAGGTGAGTGATTGACACCCTCCTGTCTGTTTGGCGCAGTGTTGGGGTTGTGCCAGCTCCTCATGATTCCTCAGCGGGGTAGGGGGAGGGGGGCTCACGTCACAGGTAACAGGACCTTGGCACATCAGTCTGGACTATAGGTCTACCTTGAGTGCTGTAGCCAAACCGCAAGGTTCATTCCTAGTAGTGGTTGCTTCTGGAATTCACCAAGCAAATTGGGCGATGACGGTGGTGGTGATGTAATTTACCTCATTGGTAATCCGCCTAAGGATTGACCCATCCTAACCCTTTAAAAGGAATGTTATTTTAGGAATCCCGTCTTTTCATCATTCTTTTTGAAGAATGTGCTTCATAATCATATACTTAGAAAGTTCATAAGATTTCCTGTTGTGCATCTGAATTTGTACAATTCATTTGTTCGGTTTTTTTTTTCTGTTAGATTGTGATGCACCAAATAACAATACACCAAGTACACAAAGTTAAAGAGATTCAGTAGGTCTTCTTTTGTCTTGATCTTAATCAGCAAATAAGTTGCAGTCATGTGTGATTATGTCATATCTATCTTTAGAAGAAATGAACCCCTATTTTGTCATGGCACATGTTCTTCATTTCAAATTTCAT